TCACTTCTGTCAAACTGCCCAGGGCAGCCGTGGCTACAATGTAGCTTACCACCATCATCACGTGAATGTTTGTATGAATGGGTGAATGACTGATTGCAGCAAAAAGTGCTTTGGAGTCCTCAGACTTGATGAAGTGTTGTACAAGCACAGGTCCTCGACCGTTTTACCATAACTGACTGCAAACATCCAGCGACTTTCACTGATTTGCTGATGATGAAAAGAAGAAAAATTTATGAATGGCAGATGCCTGCAAACAAAAATACTGCCCGTCTGTGTGAGACACACTGTCTTCAGCAACAGAAGACTCATGCTTCTTGCCTGAAACGACTTTAAGACCCATGGTTTTTTCTTCCCTCCTTCTTCTGGGTGCATGATCTCCACAATTTCTCGCACCTGGCTCGCACGCTCAAGCCTGTGTTGTGTTACCAAACTACTTAGCAACAAGCCTGGCTGTGGTGCCTCTGCTGAGAAAACTGGAGCCAGCTCTACTTTCAGGAACTGGCAAGCCTCACTGACTGGGACGTTGTTGGCCAGTCTAACTGAGATCTTGTAAAACATGTTTGTGTTAGGATTAATTAGAAGGTTATTCTGATGGATTACATGACCTTTGTGGCTTTTTTTTTCTTTACATACAATTGTATAATTTGGAAAAGCACTTCTTTGAAAAAATTTAATGTTTCCTTGATCTCAGTAAGTAAAACTGGAGGACAATGTTTGAACTCCAGTTTCAAATAATCATTTATAAAAACTAGTTTGCGGTAAAAACGAGGAGTACGAGTCAGAACATCCTCTAACATAAATCAGCTTGGTTTTTACTTTTAAAACTGTCACAAAAATATAACATATGTGTTGTGATCATGCAGCTCCTTTTGCAGCTCTCGTCAGAGGTAGTCATTTTGGCTCTGAATTTTATATTAGTTTTGAGCTTTAGTGATTCATTTGAATAGTTTTTATAACTTCAAGGATTTTTAAAAGCAAGAAATAAGTCTGAATTGATTGTGAATTTTCTCACTGGGCACATATATAAAATATATATTAATGATTGGGAGTTGAGAAAAGTCCTTATATTTCCGGAAACCAACAAGCTTCTTGCATAATTACGGTGGGATCTTTGAACACTTATCAGAAATGCTAACATCTCATTCTGCTAGTTTTAACACAGTACATGGGTTTTTAATAGGATTCACCATTAGCCTGATTTGTCTACTATAAAAGTAGTTTATATATAGGAGAATTTCTCTAAATTTGACCGAACCATCCTAAAGTTTTGGCAATCTGTGACAAACTATCACCGAGACGTAAGAAATTTCAAAAACAACCCCTTGGTCAGTCCGTTTCTGCTCAAAGTTAGACATTTCCTAACGACTACACCAACAGTTTAAAAATGGCAGCATGTCATTTCACTGCAACTTTTAAGATGTGTTTTAACAGTTAGGACAAATGGTAAGATTTTAGCTTGAGAAACTCCACAATCAAAAAGTTGTGTTGCTTAAAAAAAATACATGCATCAATGGTCCCAAATTAATGACACTCATGGCCAACAAGAAGTTTTGCTTCTGACCAGAACTGTCTAATTTAGTTATTTAAAGGCTGAGCAAAATGGGTTCAGTTGTACTCCATTTCAAAAATAATTTCAAGCAGGAACAGATATATATTAAATTTATTAATTCTCAAAAAATAAACAGTGAAAGTAGTTCAGGTAAAGTGGATATAAGTAAATACAGAGCAAGGCAACAGACTGCTGGGTGGGAAGGCAAAGAAAAGCTCATGTTACAGCGTTTAATTAAAGACTTGATGAATTCAGCTTTGCTTTCTCTGCTGTTACGTTAGCAGGGAGAAAAGCTCAAACAAAAATCCTCAAATTTTGTTGTTAATCTGAGAGGAAACGTAAGAATTCCCAAAAGTTGCATATAAATTTTTAAAATTCATTTATACTCTATCCAAGCTCATACTTTGCTATCAGTACAAAAAAAAAATAACGTTTTGAAATTACTCCCCACCTATGGTCCTATTACAGCTTTTCACATTCATAACAAAGCCCTCTGATTGAAGGGTAAATTTATTATTACCTCCTGAAGGAGACATTTTTGCTAAATCTGCTGGGTAAATATCACAAATGAGACAGGAAGTGAAAGTGAGTCTCCTCACTTTTTTACAGCAAATCAACAGCGATGACCCAGTCTTTAGTGTCTTTGAGAGAGTGCTGCTCTGCTGAAGCCCAGATGTAACAAACACTCATCCAGTTTGCTGGCTTTCTGCCAGTAGATGCTGCTCTACCCGCCGATTAATGCGCTGGAGATCTTTCTGATGGTTGGGTGGATTTTCCAGGTCCTCATGAAGGCATCGTGCGATTTCCAGCTTCCTGTAGTCCTCTGGTCGCACCAGACGTCGCACAGCGTAAAGAGCTCGATCCTTCAGACTGTCAACTGGTGAGAGACAGATGATAAGAAAAGTGTTGCTTTTATTACATTAATGCATTTTACTCCAGATTTATTTATACAGTATTATCAGGTGCATAGATCAATAAGACAGAATCAGTCAAGAATGAACACATATGCAGTCTATAGATGCATGAATTAAAAATATGCACTTTGTTGTGCTTTTAAGTATTTTAGAAATCTGTAATGAGCTGGTCAAAATTAGAATATCAGACATAATAGAGAAGAAAAAATTGCCATTGACCAGGAAAGCCTGATTGGTGCATATTAATTATTAAAGTTATTAAATATTGATAATTAAACAACTGAGAAGCTTTTAGAAAGTCAAAGAAAATATAAAAGGTACAATGTTTAAATAACAAAATACAATCTGTATAATCAGACATTAAAGCCCCAGGGAAAAAAAATACAACTAAACTTATTTCTCTATAAATTCCACAATGCATGTTTAAAAGTATATAGATATCTTAAATATCTTTAAGAGTCTTACCCGTTAAAGTGATGTTAACATGAACGGCTGCATCACCGGATGGCTTGGGAACATACAGTTCTTTGCAGTTGACTTTTAAAGGCTCATCTGAGGCTGCATCTCTGAAGAGCCAAGGGTGCCCTTAAAAAAACAAACAAATACAGCATTATAACACATTATTTTACAATAACATTTATGACAAAAAAAATGTGACCATCCAGCTGGACCATCACTACAAGATATTTTCCCCTCTGCCAGTTATCTGAATTTTATGAATCTCTTTAGGTCTGAAACATCTGTGTAGCTAGCTGCAGCAGTATCTTCCTCCCTCTGCAACAACGGAGATCTGGGTGTTGAAACCTTTCTACTGACTCGTGTGTATCATGTTTACAGATCTGCTCACATGATCACAGCCTCCGAAGGAGAGAGATTTCCTGGCACAGATGATAACATCTAGGGCAGCAGGAACTCATGTTCAGCAAAGCAAATTAAAGCTAAGGCTAAATTGGGCCATCTCAGCCACGTTCTTCTGTAGGAATGATTAAGGTTTCCTGCAAAGAGAATTTTTTTAAAGCTTAGCCACATGCTTAGTTAGCTCACAAAAGGTCAATAATCCATCACAAACCAGATGTAACTTAGGTTATTAATTTAATTAACTTTAATTTTTCCCTTGCAAAAGAAAGTAAACTAAATGTCTGTTTCAAAGGACAATATTTCCTGTCAGTGCTTTTAAATTAAAAGTGTATTCTATTGTAACAAACTTGTCTTTTAAGACAGATAAAGGGACAACTATCATTTACATAAATAAAAGCAACATTTATTTAAGATTCATTGATGAATATTTCCATCTTTACCTGTTATTTTTGATGACTTCATATACTTTTCTCTGGTTTTAAATGTCTTGTAGCCTTTTCATTTTTAATAGATTGCAGTAATATCGTTTGATATGTTGCATCATTTCAAGATCATTTTGTCAACTTCATATTATCATGAAGTTGATAACCCTAACTCTAATCTACATGGTGGGGCACTTTACTTTTACCACACAGAGCAAGTTTAAGCTGGATCGCTTTTTGCCTTAAAGAAAGCAATTTGAAAATAGTTTTTTGGGTTTACTCTGGTTATATTTGTCAAGATTTAAGCTAAGATGCGGTTATACAGAAATTTAAGTCATTACCAGACATGAAGTGAAATGAGATTCAGCCTTCATCCAGCTGTATACCGTTGTTGCACTTAAAATAAGTGGACTTAGACAATGTGTTTCACTTAAAATCGAGAAACAAGACATTGAGAGAGAAAAACAGCTTTCTAATTACACTTTTGTTATTGCTGAAAGAAATATGCACCATCTCAAAACAGATTCTCCTACTGATTAATCGATTAAGTGGTAGATTTCAGTGAACCCTGAGCTGAGGAAGTTCGTTCACTCACTCACCGACATAAGTTGTCATTCTCCGTCCCGAAAATGGCTGCATGTCAGCGTAACTCGTTGGCTTGCCTTCGTAATTTATCCACAGCGGCCGGACAACACGGCCGGTGCGATTACAGAAGACAACATTAACGGGAATCCCACTGCTCAGAGAGCGAACCGGGGGAAGAGATTCCTCTCCCTCCTGAGGCATTAGTTCTGACCACCGACTCCAAAGTGCAGCAAGATTAGCTGAATGGCTAACAAAAGAGGAGCTAACGCGAGCGGGCCCCTTTTTTCCGAAGTAAAACCAACAGTTAAACGGCAACTGTTCTTTTTGCAGTTTAGTTTGTTAGTTAAACTTAAAACACAACTAAGTTCAGAAAAATCGCAAAGAAAACCCGCACCTAGCTCCTTTAGCTCCACTATGCTGTTTATGTTTTCTCTTCCGGAAGAGACGTAGTACTAAACAATGTTCTGATTGGTTAGAAAGCCATGTACGACATCACGGCCATCAAAACGTGCCTCTCGTGCGTGCTGTGCGTGGCGCAGAGAAAGAACCACAACAATGCTATGGCTGTCCGCTTCTGAAGCTTCGATACAATGTTTCAAACCCCAAACAGCGGCCCTGACACCTGAACTCAGCTGGAAACGATTAATATTTTGTAAGCATCTTTTAGTGCACTTTTGCTGTTGAGTGAGAATATGGAGTCATCCAGGAAGAGAGGTCGTTCTGACATGTGGGCACACTTTAAATTGATCGCTCCTGACAAGGTAGGTGTGTTGTCCTGGCTCTTTTATTAGTAATATAGCAACAGGAACAGCTTCCCATTGAGAAAATTACTAAAGGGCGATTCCACCTAATTTTTCACGACCTTGAGCATCTTTGAACTGCTTTAGTTAGACACAAAAATATTTAAGACATTTCAAACCTGGTTTAAATCATTCTGCACTGATTACAGAATATCTAAAACCACGTGTCTGATTTGTGAAACTTCGGTAAATGACCGCGATTTCAGCAATTTTTAGGCATCTGGACCCAGTGGTGTAAGTAACGAAGTACAAGTAGTTCGTTACTGTACATAAGTACATTTTTCGTGTATCTGTACTTTACTTAAGTGGATTTAATAATGGGTACTTTCTACTTTTACTCCACTACATTTTACAGTAAGTATCTGTACTTTTTACTTCACTACATTTCTACAAAACTGTCGCGTTACTCGTTACATCCAAGTCGCGTTGCGCTTTTTTTCCGTTAAAATGTGAAGTTCAGGGACTTAAGGTGGCGCCGTAAAATCCAAGCAAAAACGTGACTTACGTGTCTGTTGTCACCCATCGCCTCCACCTTTACTCGCACGCGGAGCTCCAGACATGCGCAGCGGTTGCTTCTGAGCGGGAGAAGATGTCTGTCTGATCGTCAGTAATATAATAGCGCTGCATAAATCTTGGGCTGCACAGTGGCGCAGTTGGTAGAGCTGTTGCCTTGCAGCAAGAAGGCTCTGGATTCGGCCTCGGTCTTTTTGCATGGAGTTTGCATGTTCTCCCTGTGCATGCGTGGGTTTTCTCCGGGTACTCCGGTTTCCTCCCACATTGGCCTCTCCAAATTGCCCCTAGGTGTGAGTGTGTGTATGCATGGTTGTTTCTCTGTTGCCCTGCGACAGAGAAACTGTACCCCGCCTCTCGCCCGGAACGATGGGCACCAGCAACCCTCCTGACCCCACCAAGGGACAATCTTAAGATATGGCGACATGCAAAACCAGCAGCGCTTCGCTTTCACAGACGGTGGGGACTTAGTCCGACTTTTAGTAGACACACATCTGCGATGGAAAAAAGTTGTGCGCTGAATTATTATGTGGAGGTGTTGACTAAGGTGTTGCAAAAACTATGTTAAACGGTGTTACAGAGTAAACACAATGCTTCATTGTTAATTAAAATGGCACATTTCTAATGTATTAAAATTAAATAAGATCGGTTCATTTAATGATATTGTATTAGCGATTCAGCAAGTACTTTTACTTTTAATAAAGTATTTTTAAAAGCCAGTGCTTTTTTACTTTACTTAAGTACAAATGTTAATGTGGTGGCTTTACTTGAGTACATTTTTGTCTGTGTATTTGTACTTTTACTTAAGTAAATTTTTTGAGTACTTTCTCCATCACTGTCTGGACCACAGTGGAACTGCTCCTGCTCCAAAACTGCAACTATACCTCTCAAACTTTAACTGGATTATTCTGCACTAAAAGCAGAATATGTAAAACTGAACATGTGATTTGTAAAATAAATCTTTATTTATGAAACTTCAATAAAGAGCCATATAAGTCGTCTTCTTGTTGTATTATCTTTTTGTTTGTTTGTTTGTTTGCATCCGAACCACACTGGAACAGCTGTTGCTGAACTGAAGAGCTCCATCAGTACAGATATGTGTTATCACACATCTGCTCTTTTGCACTGATATACTGTATTTTAAACAGTCTCTCTTTTTAATCCAAAATAAACATGTGCATGATGTGCTTTAAAAATAGTCACCTTACTCAATTGCACACCTCTTGGATTGAGTATAATATTTCTGTTTTTGATAACTATACAGTATATTTGCGTTGTCATCTTGTACAGTAACATGTGTTGTTATTGTTAATGTCATATCTTTCATATATATGTAAATATACACACAACACTTTTGGATGTTTTGCGCAAATATCTTGATTCTGCTGTTGCAATTGAATTTCCCCACTGTGGGACAATAAAAGGTATTTCTACTCTATGCTTCTCTTATGTACAGAAAAGTGAGACGTATTCTAGTGACATAGTTGTTTGCAGGTGATGTGTGCCTTTGTGCATCACAGTAACTGTGCTGGTTAAAACGGCTGCAGTAGTTACCATGCCTATCTGATTGCTGGCAAATTAAAATCAAAGCCTTTTTTACTGGTCACTGTGGTGACTTACAGTGGCTGGGCTCTGCACATTTAAATCTCTCCTTAGGGTGCTGGTTTGATAGGTTCTCAGATTTCTGCCTCCTCGATGAATAAATCACAGCATAAATCATCACTTTATCCATTTAGCTGTTGTATTATGCATTGGCGTCCAGGTAAAGCATTCAAAATGCATCTGCACCTTGTTTACCTTATTTTTGAGTCATGCCCTCTTCTAATTTACCTCTGTGTTGATTGTGGTTAGCAGAAATTAACTTAAGTATTGTGAGCTACAAGCCTATTATTGATGTAGGCTGGTATCACCATTAGGGTACAGCTTTTTAGACTCAAACAGCAATTTAATTTACAAATTGTGTCTCTACAGGTCCAGTGCTCGTTGTGTTTAGGTGAGCTGAAGTATCATGGGAATACTTCATCCATGATTAGACACTTCTCTACCCTGCATGGAGCCACGGTTAACCATGGGAACGCAAACCTAGGTAGGATGAATGTTTTAATTATTGTTAATGAACCACAGGTCTGTTTTACATTTTCCTTTTATTCATTGTCTTTTTATTTGTGTATGTCTTTATTTATCTAAGTAGATCAGAAGCCAGATGTAGACAAGGCTCTTGTGAAGATGCTGGTGAAAGACTCACAACCTTCTTCCATTGTGGATTCTTTGCCTTTGCGTGACAGTGGGGGGCAACACAGGAAGAAAGGTCGCTCTGATATGTGGGAATACTTTAAATTGGTCAAGCCTGATAAGGTAGGTGTGCTGGCTCTTTGATAGTTAATATAGGCAGAGTTGGGTAATTACATTTACTCAGTAACATTTACTTCAGTAACTTTTTGGGAAAGAAAACACGTTTAGGAGTATTTTTTATATGCTGTATGTTTAGAAATTGACTTGGAAAAATGTTTATTCCGATTTTCTTATTTTGCAATTATGTAATTTATAAGAATTATTTCCATTTTGGTTTATAAAATACAAAATAACTTTACATTTTGGTCTGTCTGATGTAATTTTAAATATTAAATGACTAATGGTTTGATCAATTACTCAGTACTTGAGTAGCCTCATTACCAAATACTTTTTTACTCTTGCTTGAGTAATTTCTTGAATGGCTACTTTTTACTTTTACTTGAGTGAAGATATGTTAAAGTAGTGTTATTCTTACTTGAGTGCAATTTTTGGGTACTCTACCCAACTCTGGACATAGGAATAAACATACACAGTGGTAACTATCAGTGTAGTACAATATCTTTGGTCTATATTAGATCTATGTTAAGGGGATATATCATTATATTTAGTGACATAAAACCCATGAAATACTGAAGGTGCAAAATATAAATCATAACCAGTCGTTAGAATGCTTTTGAAAGAACCTATTTCAAATAATTTCTGACAAATAACTTTTAATACATAAAGGGATTACCATAAATAAAATATGATTTGTCCTTATTATTTGTGCTTTAGCTTTTAACTGGAACATGACAAATAGATAAGTCGTTGGTTATTGGGTAAGCAGAAAAAGGATAAACTTTGACGTTTTGCAATAAAAAATGACCAATGCAAATAACATGTATGCGCTCCAAAAACACTGTTACTAGTGGACGCACTATCTGTCCCAACATTACAGCCATTATGAAACGGCTGTAATGTTGTAGTAGCACCACAAATGTGCTTGAGTTGTCCTTTGGTCAGTGTTTGTCAATTCCGGACCTCAGGGACCACTGCCATGCATATTTTAAATGCGTTTCTGTTCCAGACCACCTAATCCAAATGATTGCATGACCTCCTCTGCATGCCATCAAGAGCTGCAGCAGCCTGTTAATCACCCACTTATTCAAGTCACGTGTGCAGCAGAAGGGCAACACCGAAAACATGCAGGGCAGTGGTCCCTGAGGACCGGAACCGAGAGACACTGCCTTAGAGTAATGTCTCAATGTTTCATACAGGTCCAGTGTTTGGTGTGTTCAGCTGAGTTGAAATATCACGGAAGTACTTCCTCCATGATTAGGCATTACACTGCCAAGCATGGAGCTGTGGTTAACCAGGGGAAGGCGAATAAAGGTAGCATAAATCTCTCGTACTTTTATCATTATTGCCAAAAAACCCCAGAAACTACAATATGCTTCTGCTTCACATTGTCGTGGCTTTTCTGTTTTATCTGCTTGTCTTCATTTTTGTGTCTTAGGGGACAGGAAGCGAGAGCTAGATGAGGCTCTGGTGAACATGCTAGTGAAGGATTCGCAGCCTTTTTCCATTGTTGATGACTGTGGCTTCAAGGAGTTTGTGGCATTGCTGGATCCCACATATACTCTTCCATCCAAACAGACTCTAAAGGATATGGTGATACAGAGATACGAGGGCCAGATGTCCAAGATCAAAGCTCACATAGAAGACGGAGACTCTGACCTTGACTGCTGATATATGGACCGCCGTCAATATGTTATGTGGATGATACTACCGAACGTCCCACAATGCTATTGGGAGTGGCGTATTTGCCTTAACACTTACTGGTGGTAGGATCGCTGCTGACACAAGGTCTCTCATGAAAGAATGGGGCATTAAAGGAAAGGTGACCTTATTAATATGGTCGCCTGTTAGAAGTTTGAATCAGAGATGTACACTTAGCTTTGTCCTTTTGTTAGTTTTAGTGGTGAGGAACTCTGTTGATGCATCTGATCTGGGGGGGCCTTTGCACAAGAGCACAAAAGCCAGTCACACTCTTCCAAACCAGCTCAACAGGAAAAATAAGCTCAAAGAAGTTGATCAATTTTGAGGCGATAAAGTTTATTTTAGAGGTGGAAACAGGCTGGTACTGAGCCTTGTTTGTATTTTCAGTGAGGCAGCTTTTGTTGAGCTGAAAACACACAATAGCTGTCCAAAGTGAAGGTTTCATGGCTAAAGACTTTCCCAATGGCAAAGATGTCGTATGTGATACTTGAGGGAACACTTGGGGAAAAAAATAAATTACAATGCAACTGAACTTTAGAAATTACCGTTTTCTAAAATGTGTTAAAAGTGTGTTTTTGCTGAGCAGCAGTCATCAATGTGAAACAGTACTAGAGACATACGTTTCTCCCTGATTTTATTTTTCTGAAACATTTAATATAATTGCCATCCTCCATGATGAATAGAATATGTTCATTTTGGAGATTAGCAAAATAACAGAATTTATTTCCTGTTATTTTACTCAGAAATCTTGCTTTACAGGATTTCTACTCACTCTCAAAAACTCTGGAGAAGTATGAAATTGGCTTCTCTCATTTTCCACATTTGGAAAAGTATGGTAATTCTTTATCAAGGAATTGTATTAAGTTTTCTGATTTTTTTTTTCCGTATTCCAATTTTGAACTGACAAAGTCTAATAATCCTTAACAAATACTATTGTTATCACATCAGTTAATTAATTTCATATGCTTTATCTTAGATTTTGCTAACTCTCAGATTAGTTTGAACATTTTACCCGTCGATATCTGATTTTTGACTTACTGACTGTGTGTAAGAACTTAAAACTTTAAGAAGTATTAGATTGAACTGTCCCATTTGATCAAAAATCCAAAACAAGCACTGGAACTGATATATTTGGCAGACATTTGCTCCCTCATTGTGGCATTTAGCAAATCTGCATGTTGAGTTTGTTTTCATGGAAACGGTTTCATATGTATCAGTCTGTAACCTGTTTATCTTATCTATCATCTGCTGACCTAATAACCAAACCTTCAGCAATGGAAGTGAGCTCCACCCAGTTTGATCTCCAGTATAAAAACAGGGGGCGCAGCTCAGGAGACCAAAACAAGAGTTCGACTTCTGCAGCGTTTTACCTCCTGCAAAATACTGGTGGACAAAAATGACTATAGCTGGAGAAGCTGAAGTTTGATCAAGGCTTTGCAGGGAGAAGATACGTGTAGAATTGAAGTTAGATAAAAAACGAGAGTTTTGCCAACTTTGTATGTAGGACTTTTCTTTTAATTAAATAGGTTTCATATATGTATATATATACTATTTCTATTCCAGACGCTTAAAGTTAAAATGCGTCCGCTAAATGAGAGCGACTTTGTGGATGCGCACGACGTCCCGCGGGACGAGAGTCTGGCCCGGGTGGAGATCGCGCTGCTCGGTGCGATCTTCGTGACCGCCGCCATCCTCAACACCGCCCTGCTGCTGGTCCTCTGGCGGCAGCGCAAGCAGATGTCCAGGATGCGCGTCTTCGTCTTCCACCTGTGCCTGGCGGACCTGGTGGTCGCCTTTTTCCAGGTGTGCCCACAGCTCATGTGGGACATCACGGACCGGTTCGTGGGACCCGACGTGATGTGCCGCCTGGTGAAGTACCTGCAGGTCCTGGGCATGTTTTCCTCCACCTATATGATCGTGGTGATGACGGTGGACAGGTACCAAGCCATCTGCAACCCGATGGTGAAGTTTCAGCGGGCGCGCTCAAGACTGAACGTTCCCGTGTGCGTGGCGTGGGGGGTTTCTCTCGTGGGCAGCTTGCCGCAGGTTTTTATCTTCTCCCAAGTGGAGGTCGCACCTGGTGTGTTTGACTGCTGGGCGGAATTCATCCAGCCTTGGGGGCTGCAGACCTACATCACCTGGACCACTCTGGTCATTTTCATCCTGCCGGTTTCCACGGTTGTGGTTTGCCAGGTGCGCATCTGCAGAGCCATTCAGACCAACCTGTCCAGAAAGACTCACAGGCAGGGAGTGAGCGTCGGGGCGCCGCTGCCCGCAAGAGCCAGTGGAGTGGCCGGGATGTCCAAAGCCAGGGAGAAGACGCTGAAGATGACCGTGGTCATTGTGTTGGTGTATATCGTCTGCTGGGCTCCCTTCTTCACCGTCCAGCTGTGGTCCGCCTGGGACGCAAATGCGCCTAAAGAGAGTAAGTTACTGCAAAATTACTGCCACGTTTTTCCTTATAGACAACAAAGGCGGTCCGAAATTGAATGCGGCCCAAGCGAAATTTGATTTGGGCCATTAATTCTCTCCCTAATCTAATAAAATAAGTTAATGTAATGATTGTTAAATTAAAAAAAATCTAACGTTTATATGTATGTATTGCATTATATCAAAACGAAAATGATAAAAAAATAAAGTGCTTCTTTTTCAAATACATAAATAATGACATAGGACAATTATTTGATGTCATTGTGTGTTAAAATAATTATTATTTCATTATTTTATATTTACTGACATAGCTAACCTAAGGTTATATGGCCTTGAGCTGAATTAAGTTTGGCCCCCCAGTTAGTCCTATAAATTAATATTTATAGATGGGATCACTTGAATAAATGTGCTAAATACATTTTTTAAAGTGTTAATAATTTATTAAAACATAAGCAGAGCAAAATCTTCAATTAAAATTCAACTTCATTACACTGTTGACTATTTTTGAATGTATTTAATTATTTCTTCTTTCTTATGCAACAAGCCACTATGACGTACATTAACCCTAACATCTAATTGGTTAACCTGCTTAACTGAAGACCAATCGCCTTAATTTCTCCATTGTAAGCCCCACCCAGTAACTCTGAAATAGCAAAACTGACCAAGTTTATTTACTTAGCACATTTACAACAACCTCAGCTGACCAAAGAGCTTCATAACAAACACAACATTACAGGAAATTATAAAAAACAGAAAATAAAATTAAGTTTGTTTTAAAAAAAGTAGTACGATAATTATAAAATTGACAGAAAATACCTAAAATTAATAACATGAATAAAAACCAAAACAATACTTATTATCAGCTGCAGTGATTTTCTTCCCCCCTTTAGCTTTTGTCCTTAATTGGTGTTGAATGTCAGGGAGAACAAATCCGTTTTCAGTCTGGACTTAAACTGACCGACTGACTGAGAAAGCTTAACAAATAAATGATTTCATCTTTTGTTGCAACAAAGAACTACAGAACAATAAATTAGATTCCTAAGTAAACATATATGTTTTTAACATATACTGAACAACAATTTATACATTCATTTTTACATTAAATTATTCTGTTACGTATGTTTATTTAACTTATTGCACATTGAATTGTAACACTTTTATCTGTTCATAAAACTTACATTCTCATTATTTGTAAGAGAATAAAGTCCAGACTCCTGTATTTCAATGCAGACTTAATAGAGCAGGGAAGTTTATGTATTGTTTAGTTTACAGCTACATTATTAATAATCCATCCAGAAAATTGTTTGTTTTCAGCATAAACAGATCTGAGGAACATATTTATGCAACAATATTAACTGGACAAGATAGTTCACATTATCACATGTGTTCCTGTAACCTTTTTACATAAAGACATAAGACATTCCTTTTGCATGGATATAGAAAGCACAGTTTTATCAGCTGATTTCACTTGTGTATTTTAACAAATATTGCTCAGCCGTAGGTGTAATATAGTCTGCTTTTGTACTTAATTTACCCAATTACTTTGCTGTTGATAAAATGGAAAGATAAATAATTTTATCTCTGCAATCATTAGTTGTTTTTTTCTTTCAAATTGAACATGAAATACCATTACAAATTTTGGATCATTAAAAATTCTTTAAAATTTTCTTTAAATTTAATTATGAATGTAAATTTGTGGCGTCTATTCTCTGTGTCAGAGGTCAAACATCCTCTGGGGCCTGGCAGGCCTGTGAGCTTAGTTTGTTTTTTGAGTAAATTAATACAGGAAGCTACGACTCTTTCACATTTTCATCAGATTTCAGTGCAAACACATTAAATGTTTTTAGCTCTGTTCCTCCAGCTGCGATTTTCACCATCCTGATGCTGCTGGCCAGCCTGAACAGCTGTGCCAATCCCTGCATCTACCTCCTGTTCTGCGGGGAGTTCCCCAAGAGGCTGGTGAAGCTCCTGCGTCCACCGCCGCTCTCTGCCGGTAAGGATCTGATGCATGAGGAAGTGATGCTTGTCAGCACTTTGTATACGAGCTTTAAAAACGCCTCAGAGTCAGAGGGGTTGTAACGTCATGTCACAAAGAGGGGGTGGGGGGGGTTAACATGGAGAACCTGCATGCTGAGAAGAGCTTACGCTGAGCTCTCTTTGTGTTTGACAGAGAGATGAAGACAAAATATGATTTATCTGTTGATGTTTCTAACGTTATTGCTTGTCTCTGAAGCAATCATCAGGAGAGCAAATCAGGGATGGATGGCCGTAAATGAGATGTGGACAGAGTCTCCTTCAAATGTTGGTCTGAAAGGTGATTTTACTTAAATGGAGCATTTTCAACTGGATAAAGACTTTTTTTTATTTTTTTTTTTAATGTAACAGGATATTTCTAAAGCCTTGAAGAGACCGGACTTTTGAGGTTCTCCTATTTTTGATTTCAGCTGCATAATGTTTTATTTTTTTTATATACAAAGGTTTGTGGAAGGAAATATTACAGACACAACAAACCACAACCACAGAGTGATTCTCATTTGTTGGATCTGTGTTTCATTCTTCAATAATAAGCTGCTGGAAAAGCTAAAGAACAAAAAGTCTTTGTATAAATGTACAAAAAGGTTTGATGTTTTTGTTCTGGGAAAAAAAAAAGTCCTCATGTTTGTTGTGATGGAGGTGAATTTTCTGACAAGTGAAGAATAAATCTATTTTCTTTCTGAGGTCGTATGAAATAAAAATATGAAAACAATATTATAGGCATAAACTTGAAATTAATTGTGTGTTACATTGCCTTACTAAAGTATTCCTGCCCCACGAACAATCCCAACTTGTTATGTTACAACCATGAACTTCGATGTATTTTGTTGGGATATGTGACAGACCATAATAAATTATTATATAATTGTGAAGTAGAATTTAATAAATTGTTTTCAAAATGCTTTATTAAACTGAATGAAAGCTGAAGCTGCAGCATCATGGCGTGGGCTGCTTTTCTTCAGTGGGAATCGGGAAACTAGCCAGACTTGAATATTCCTGTTTATATTAAATGTTTAAAGGATCATACTGGCCATAGTTGGACTTTGTAGCTGTCTTTGTTAAACATCTAATGAACGTGTCGCCTCCAGGTTTGCAGACTGATGAGGAATTTTAACGCGGGTAGCGCAGCTTGCCAGCAGCAAGATGAGAAATGTTTGACTTGCCGGATTCATTTTCACTGCACCAGCTGAAAACAAGTCACGTTTCAGTGCTGTTGTGTCTTTTTCTCTTTGTGTGATAACAAAGGAGTCTGAATGTCATTTTTCAAGGTTAATTTTAAAGTAAGGACACAGAAAGTCTATCATTCTTCCTGACTAAGCTGCTGATTCATGTAAGGCGTTTCAAGTTTGAGAAATAATAGGGTGAGTATTGGCAGTGAGTATTTACATGGAGATGTTTTCTTTTCTCAAAACCCTGAGTGTGGGAAACACAATTAAAGTGCTGGGAGGAATAATTCAAACATTTAGAAGAGGAGGATGAGAAGCCCTGGCGCTACAGTTGTGTCCTTATTCACTCACTTATTTACCTTTTGAGAGAGCTACACCAGAATGAGATGAACGTCACGTCATTTTGGGTTAATAAAACATTAATGACACTGTTTTGTTTTTTGTTTTTTTTCAGTGTAAAATGACAAGTTCAGCTATTTTTAAGAACATGAGTTGGGTGCACATGTTATTTTATATTTATATACATTTGTAGATTATCTGCAATTCGCACAAGATTAAACTTATACATACAGGATCACATATCCATCTAAATCTCTGAGCAAGTAGTGCTGAATGTTCTTGGATTTCTTTTAACTGGACAGGACCAACGTCTGCTAATGTCTGGTAAGTGGTTATGGCTGACTGCATCTGGTCCTTTTTCTCTATCAACATGAAAAGGGTTTGTTTGACAGCACTCATAGGTTTGGCCGGTACTCTGAACACCGGCTTGGTTCAACAAACTGAGTGAAGATGAGGGGAGAGCTGCAGATATACACATATTGGGAGAGGGTTTGTTTTTGGAACAATCTCTAAACAGTTTTAGATTCCATAATTATAGGTTCAAACATTATTAGCACTACTTGTTTCAAATGTTTTGCCACTTTGCCAAGGTCCTATAGATGACCCAGGAGAAGGCAAACTGGTTTGGGCATTCAAGAGATAACCAGCAACTACGAGAGCTCAAGCCAGATAGGATACCTAAATAAAAAAAGACATGCTGTAAAAAAAAAAAAACAATTATTAGAGACAACTAATGAGTTGTACAGTCAAAGACGAGAAGCTTGGATCAAAAACAGAACACGTTAGATTCAGAATACGTTTATTGACCAAGTTAGTGTGCACAAATGAGGAATCTGACTTTGATTTTCAACTACTATCAGCATATAGACATAAGTATAAATATATTAACTAGAGAGGAGATGAAATAAGAACCAAAGCGCAAAATGTGCATGCATTTCAAGTCATTTTCATGAATTGATGTGAAATTGCAAAAATTCTTGCTTTGTTTCATAGTTGAGGACTTTCCTCATCAGGGAAGAAATTCTCTGTGGCGGATGGTTTTTGCAAATAGTGCAAATACCAAATTGAAGATAAAAGTTTAAACAGTTCATGTCCAGAATGTGTCTTACAATGGTCCAGTAAAAGTCTAGACTTAAATAAAGCTGAGAATCATAGTCAAAACTTGAAAATACCTCTTCACAGATGCTCTCCATCCAGACTGACTGAGTCTGGTAATTAGCAAAGAGCTATAATTGCAGAGAAAAGGGCTGTGCTAAGTATTTACTCAAGAGGGTTGAATAGAAAAGCACGCAACACTTTTCAGATTTTCCTTGGTTAAAAAAAAAAAACACAATAAAACAAAAACGTAAACCATATATTTTCCTGCTTCTTCTCCATGACACTTTCATGTTGTCGTTTGGACGTTCGTACTCCTGACCGCTAGTTGGCGACAAAGCGCTTCATTTGATCTTTTAGGGAATAAGTGATGAAGTAATTTCCAACAGGAATTCGACATGTTTTTGTTTTTTTCTTGGTTTCCAAAACAACTGTCCATGTGTTCGTTACAGCTCCCTCCTCACACACTAGTTCCTCCATAAAAGCGCCCTGGTTGTCTACTTTGTCTGCGTATTGTTTGCACTTTCCTTTTTGTGGGTCCGCGGTGCTTTAGAGCCTCTTGAATGGGCAGAAACCGCGGACTGTTTGGACCATGAACTGGGCCTGTTCCTGTCAGAAGAGGTGAGACTTTTAGCTCTATGGGTAAAGTGAGCATAGAGACCCGGCTGCAGGTGGTGAGCCTCAGCCAGCAGGGACTTTCTCAGGCTAAGATCGCCCGGCAGACAGGGGTCTCCAAGAGCGCCATCCAGGCTCTGCTGCAGAAGCACCGGAAGACGGGCACCGTGGAGGACCAGAAGCGCAGCGGCCGACCGCGCAAGCTGAGCGGAGCCGACGAGCGGCACATAAAGCTCATCTGCCTGCAGAACAAGAAGATGTCCAGCAGCGACATCACCTCCGAGCTGGCGGTGACGAGCGGGACCCTGGTGGACCCGTCCACCGTCAGGAGGAGCCTGGCCAGGAACGGCCTGAGCAGGAGGCGAGGAGACAGAAGCAAAACCTGCCTGAGTGATGACAGAGAGGATGGGGAAGAGGGAGGGGAGGAGGACCACAAAGAAGACGGTGACAGCATGGAGAAGGAGCTCTCTGCCAAGGATTCAGGAGCAGAAATTACAGACTCTGATAAGAGCATCAAGAAGGAGAGTCTGGACGCTTCAAGCTCAAGTGAAGAAGCGTAGCAGCCTTTTTTTGTAGGCTTTATCAGGCAATATTTGCTAAATAAAACAATTATCAGCTGGTTATTGCAGCTGATGATGTATGACGGCGTATTAGGGTCATTGTAGAAAAAGTAAGCAACTTTCCGCAAAGGCACTCAGAAATTTTGAGACTAAACTCAGAAATTTGCTAGAAGGAAATTTGGAAATGTTTAAGTTTGAGAAGTCGAAAATGTGCAAGCATCATCTCAAATGTTCAGATTGATCTCAGAAATCTTTTTGGGGAAAAAAGACGGAATTGTTTGAAAAGCAGAAAAAAATGACTTTTGAAAGAATTTATATATATATATATATATATATATATATATATATATATATATATATATATATATATTCTATGTGAAAGAAAAAAAAAATATATCTAACATAT